GGTGTGGGGGGTTGATGGGGTTGAGGGGGGTGGATGAGGAGGAGGAAGAGGGGGAAGAAAGGAAGGGGGTCTTGGGGATGGGATTGGGGATGGGGATGGGGATGGGGAGGAGGATAGGGAAGGGGAAGGTGTTGGTTTGTGAGGGGTGTTTGGGGAGGGTTTGATGTTAGGTATTCATGAATGGATGGGATTCTGGGGGTAACGGAGGGTTGGTGATCTTGATTATTGGGAGGAATGGTTATGGTTGATACCCTGTTGCGTTCCTGTGTACGGGTTGTGGTTATGGTCTGTTCATTTCATCTCATGGTGGATGTCTATGCCAGGAGGAAGGTATGGTATGTATGTCTCAAACATATCTAACGAACGTTATCTCTCAAACAATGATCCCGTGGTGAGAAATATCTCTGTTCCGACATTAACCAACAAACACCGGAGGACAATTCAATCATCATTGATCTCCAGTCATGGCCGTCTCTCCGCTCACTCCGCAGCAACGTCAAAGTAAAACTCAACATGCTTGGTCGAGACCCCAGGTTCGTGAAACATTATGGTACTGTTCTCGTCCAAACGACCCCATGAATCAACAAAAGCACTCATGATAGCGCCCTGACCTTCTGTATTCACCTCCGCCCTCTTCTTCTTGGCGTAGCTAACATTGTGCATGTCACATTGAGGGATGGCAACCTCTCTGCCTGGCCAAAGGGTTTTACCCGGCGTCGGACGCCGGACAAATATTTCTTGGGTGCGATAGTGTGTCACGTAAACCTCGCGGAAAGTGAGTCCAGTTGTGGGTGTCTTCAATCCTAGGATCTGGTACTGCTCCAGTACACCCTCACCGTTAAAATCATCTGGGAAGGGACGAATTCCAGCATAGCGTATACCAGCGTTCCTCATTGCACGGACCATCAGGTCTTGATAGGTGGATATGGGATGGCCTTGCGTGACTGGTTGGGTAGGGGGGTCATTATGAACGTAGCTTGAGGTTGCCATGAAGGTGATACCCAGAATACATGCGACTGTACCCGCAATTGTGTAGCTGTATTCATAACATAGGAACGCACAGATGCACCAGGTCAGGATAGTCGAGACTATGCCGTAGATAACTCTGGGAACAAATAAATCAGCATCAGTAAGTATGCATCTGAAGTCGAGTTCTCACTTGTTCTGGCATTGTCCGATACCTCGAATCATGCCACAGATGGTCTTGCTGAAGAACGAGCCTTCAGGACGCTTCACGCCTGTCGGCGCGGCTTTAAAGTGCTTCAGAATCTGTTCCATTTCCGAGCTATCTCCAGGGATATAGACCGTAGTATCGGTGGTTAAGAACGTTGTGCGTGCTGTCTCCAGGTGCATCTCAGCCGCTTCAGAGGTTGCAAAGAGAAGGTACAAAGGCCTAAGGATTTTGGTGACCGTCTCACGATCCAAGCCGCCCTTTGGAGACGGTTGTTCACTATTCCAGAAGGGTATCATTAGCATTTGCTAGAAGACAAGGAGCATAAAATGGAGACGTACCTTGGATGAGGGGGCCACAGGAGAGTATGCATAAAGCTGAATGGAAAACAAAACATGTTGATGATATTCCAACAAAAGTTGACGAGCCAAGTAAAAGCCATGACTGCGTTTGCTGGCAAAAACGAGACTAGAAGAGCTTTAAGAGCTATGCGAGCCTTGAGTTCTGATAAGAATACTGAGATCTTGAGTTAGAACTCAATTCATGAAAAGATGAAGAGCTGTGACCGAGGCCAAGAGAAGACAGATCTATGGCTGCTTCTGACCATGAGGGGGTCAAGAGACAAAAGCTACTTCATATATGGATGAAAAGCCACATACTTACTGTTCGTTCGATGCTTTGATAACTGAAGACCAAAGGTTGTCATGCAAATCTCGCAGTAGTGGGGAGCTGAAGGCACCGTCAACACGGTGGGCGACGATTAAGTACCCCAACCATGTGACACAGACCCATTAAACAGGCCACCGGTGTACTAGCAATATAACAGAGCCCTTTTTAGATGTTCACTGATTAAATCAGTTCATTAGTCAGGCAGAGGAGCCTCAAGCTCTGCCCGGAGACTGATGGGACACCCTGTCGGACACGAAGTCCAACGAAATATCAATAACTAGGAGAGGATATAGTTCATCTCAGTAGATGGGTTTTGACAATATACAGTATTTTATGAGCTTATTTCTGAGGGTATTTCTGGCAATACGTTTTCATTACTTCGGTACGCAATTTTTTAACAAGAACACTTCTCATACGACTGGCTGAGAAGGAATGTTGGTATTTTGTTACACACAGTAGATGGAAGGACCCGATTAGTACACATCATAACAATCGTGATAGAATGTAGGCCATAGATTCTTCAATGATATGTTAGAATTAGAGAAAAGGTCTTCTTGTACATCCGTATGCCTCATATAATAGAGACATCTCGTAGGAGCTGATTGAAGCTGCAGACAGTTCAGCGATTACAAGACTGCAAAATCAGTACAGGTTTGGATACGAGAAAAGAACGGTCTGTACAAAGCTATTAATCTTCAAATACTAGTAGTATTTGAAGACTGAGACTGGTCATAGGCATAGGACAGTACCGGAACACGCTATCCATAATCTATCAGGCCAGTGGTCACTCATCTGTTATCGTACTGTCACTGTCACTTTCCGTCCTCTCCTCGCAACCCGGTTCACTTTCTTCCAACACCCAGAGCTGCCAACAACCGAACAATCTTAATCCATCTCCGATATGCTAGTGACCGTGAGCTGTCGGCTTATCTAACCGAGCCGGCTTTGTTCCCCGCGTCAGGGAATGATCCAGGTTCCAGCAACCTTAACCGAGGATATGCCAATCAGACCGGATGGATGGCGCCTAGCTTGGATGACGCCATCCAACCTCGGCAGCAACTCACGATATACTTCGATCTGGTATCCAGGAACCAGATCTGAATGTCTTCAATCTCCATTTATTCTCATCCTTTTTTCTCGTATTCTCGAAAGCAATTGCCAGCCCGGATAGCACCGGCAACGAGTCTCTGACGTCCCGTGCAGAAAATGCTCGTTTTCTGCTAATCAGTCTACGAAGCTTCAGCCAGGCAGATGGACGCAGTAAGCATGGTGCAGATCAGACTCAGCATTCCAGCAGCTTCGTCCAAAGTGATCGACCTACCTTTTCATTCGATCCACCTTCCATTGCCTTCCATCAGGGGGCAATTCAGAGTCCACCGCCATTCGGCTGATTTGTCATCGACGTCTGATGTTTAGGAATCAACCCCGCTGCCCCTCCGTCCACCCAGGGGCATCTATACCTCGCATCCTTGGCACCTATACTTAAGCGGCGGTCTTTCTTCTCAATCATTCATCCTCAACAATCAACCACAATCCCCTTGTCCAAACAATCCATCCACTCATCCACAATGGCCTCTTTCGGAACCATCTACAGCTACCCCAACAACCCCCGGGTGATGAAGGTAACCAAACCTACTCTCCACCTGAGTCTGTTTCCCACAAACATCCAGCTAATGCAAAACAGACCCAGGCTGCCGCCAACTTCAACGGCCTGACTCTCACCAACGCTGAGTTCACCATGCGCGTCACCAACCGCGAACCCTCCTTCCTCGCCAAGTTCCCCATGGGCAAGGTCCCCGCTTTCGAAGCCGCCGACGGTACCCTGCTCGTCGAGTCCGATGCCATCACTCAGTACGTTGCCGACAGTGGCCCCGCCGCGGGACAGTTGCTGGGAGAGAACCCCGCCGAACGGGCTCTGATCCGTCAATGGATCTGTTTCGCCGACACCGAGCTGAACTCCAGCATCGCCCTTCTGGCCTACTGGAGACTGGGCTTCCGCGAGTATAGCGAGAACACCGAGAAAGAGGGTTTGGAGAAGCTGAACCGCAGCTTGGAGTACATGGAGAAGCGTCTCGCTGATCGGACCTGGATTGCCACCGACAGATTGAGCTTGGCGGATATCTCGGTTGTGGCTGCCTTGTACTGGGGCTTCGCCCTGGTGATTGATGCGGAGATGCGGAAGAACTACCCGGGCCTGGTCGCTTGGTATGAGCGGACGATCGAGAGCGAGCATGTCAAGGAGGCTTTTGGCCCCAAGAACTTCGTCGAGAAGAGGAAGGAAGCCAACTAGGTCGATGGACCCTAGTCCCGACGCTAATGATTTATGACGATAGTGAAAATAATACAAGTGGCATTGTTCAACGGATGAATAGAGTAGTTGCACGGCTAGCAATATGAACCATCATGGAGCCAGCCACAACCCGCGGTTCCAAGTATCAATATATCGAGTATGAATGCACAAACGAAGGGGCCGGGATGAAATTGTTCCTTGTCCTCATTACAAACGGGCCAGGACGGTCTTGTCGCTATCCTTGCGCAAGGATCGGGCAAGATTTCGACTGGCCCAGTCGGCGATGGCCATATTGGTGATCATCGGGTTAACGCCACTGGCGCTGGGAAACACCGACGCATCCACCACATACAAGCCCCGGGTGCCCCAGACCTGACAATCCGAATCCACAACGCTGGTCCTGGGAGTCTTGCCCATGCGACACGTGCCCATCTGGTGTGCACTGGCAAACATGGTCCGCTCCGGGTCGAGAGGTCTCTTGCGCCGGAATTCCGCGATCCACGCTTGGAGGGCCGCGTTATTTGCGCCTTCTAGATCCTCCGCATCAGACTCCTCAGGGCGGATGAACGGGGGCATTTCGCGCCATGTCGTGTGAAACTCCTTTGCGCCAGAAACAAATGCCATCTTCGCACTAGCGACCAAGGCCTCCGCAATGTGTTTCCGGTCAAAGGTCGAAACCGTATAGTCGACCCGGCATCGTCCATCGACAGGATCGGGATAGACTCGCCCAGAGTCTCGATCCCTGGAGAGCATGATCAGGCCGGCCGTTCGAGGAAGCTTGTGGGCCCACATCTTGTAATCAAGACCACTGCGCCACGGGAAGATAGGAAGAAAGGCAGCGGGTAACATTGACAGAGCTTCGATCTTAACGCCATGCCCATGCCCATCCAGATTTTCGAACTCGTTGACGACAGTGGTCAGCGCAGCACCTTCCCAAGGGCGGATCTCCTCATCCATCACCACACCCGCGATAGCGACTGGTTATCATTAGTCACTGCGGTCGGACATTCTCCACGGAATGCAACTTACCAGGATGTAGGTGGAGGTTCCGACCAATGTGAGGATTCTTCAGTCCGCTCCGTAGGAGCAGCAGGGGGCTCTGCAGCGTGCCGCAGGAGATGACAACCCGCTTCGCCTTGATAATGACCTTTCGCCGGATGGCAGTTACACCTGAGCGGCATAGATACGCGTCCATAGATTTCCAGACGCCCTCGATACCTGATGCCACCTGACCATCTTTAGTGTCGGTAAACAGAACTTTGTCTGCACGAAACCCTTCGACGAATGTCGCGCCTGCGGCGCCGGCATCGGCCAAAAACGTCTCCGTTGGGCCCTTTTTCCCGGTCGAGTGGCAGCCGAGGGTACAATAGCCACAATAATGCTCCGTGTGCCCTGTATTCTGCGGCACGGTCTTTGCGGCGTAGCCCAATCGCCGAGCGCCTTCCAGTAGGAAGCGGTTCGCCGTGTTGTGCTTGATATGCTCAGTGTCAACCCCCATCCGCTCTGAGACGCGATCCAGGCATTTCTGAAATTCCATCGAAGTGAAAAATGGCAGTCCCTTTTTCGCCCATTCCTCGCGCACAAAACCCTGCGTCTGTAGAGCAGCGGACCAGTTGACGGTGCCACCGCCACCCCAGGTTGAACCAGCCAGGATAGCCATGGAGCCATCATCAGTCGCAACGGCGCCTCCTCCCTCGAACATGCTCACAAATCCCTCATTGAAGTTCATGGGGAAATGATTCGACGTGTAATGGTATGACTTTTCTACCACCAGGACTTTATGACCTGCTTCGGCGAGATTCTTCGCCGCCACGCTGCCACCACAACCACTACCCACAATGACCACGTCGGTCTCGATGATCTCAGGTTCATCTGCGGAGGGGAATTGTAGGAAGCTGTACTTGCAGCCATTGGCGGGTTTTCCGTGAACTGGCACCCTCGGGAAGCCGATGACCGGGCAAAGAGTCGGGCTGAACGTCACCCACGTCCGCTTGAAGATCCCCGTGAGAGCCCGATAAACGGCTCTCAGCGGGCTTAGCCGGGAAGTCTCCCATCCGCGGATGATCTCTTCACGAATGTAGATGGGCTGATCCTGAATGGGGGTCACGGACCCTGTCAAGACGAGTGAACCAGCTCGGGTACTGTGTCTGTTAGCTTCTGCACTGATCAGTGAGAGCTTGGAGTTGCGTACTTGAGCGCATTCAGGATAAACGCCAGGCCATTTCTCCCTTCTTCGTGCACATATTGAGAGAAGAGGCGCTCCAGCCCCTCCCGGAACCGAGGATTGGACGATGCGTCTTCCTCTAGGTACTGGATGGCAATGGTAGCAGCGTCCGGGGAGGCAATGCTTCTGGTCAATGTTGAGAGAGTTCGATTCAGGTCGGAATGCGGTATCACCTTGGTCGAGGCCGACTTGTACGCTGTGGGGCTACGGATCGAAGGAATGACCGTGTCGGCCAAGGCCATGAGGGTGGTCCATTGTTGGTCGGTGAAGATTTGCGTGGATGGGACAGGAGGGAGAGTCACATCCAGCGGGACGTAGTGAGCGGTCAGTTCGGCCATTGGGCACAGCTGTCCGCCTGCTCCAGTAACAATAGAGTACGGTCAACGGCTCGAGTGAGGTCGAAGATAACAAAGGACGGACAATGGGTAAAGCTGCTGATATCCCAGGGTTGTCGAGGAAGGGAGACGAGCTTAGCTCCCCGTCTGCCACTCAAATAGCGGACAAAGAGGCACCTTCCTGAACAGCGGCACAGGGGGTCCTAGACTGGAAATGCTTGCGAAAGAGGGGGATCAAAATTGACTGGGAAACCGCCACGGAGCGATCCCCATACGATCCGACACGCTCCACCAGTGACTGAACGACCCCATATTTGTGCGGCTCGTCGATCAGCCCAATTCACCGAGGCAGCTCGGAAAAGGGGGTTTGGCTTCGCTTGAGATGCTGGAGAGGAGTGGAGCAGTCCCGAAAGTCTACTGTGCCTTCCGTATAGCAAACAAAAGGCCAGAGCATCGTGAAGCTGGCGTGGTACTGCAGCTGGTTGGCTGGCAAGGCCATGCTGCGGATCCGCCGAGGCCAAAGAGCGAGTGCTGGTGCGGGGAATGGGCGAAACCGAGCCTCGTCGGCAGTATTTCAACGGTTTGATACGCTTGCCATGTGAGATTGGCAGCCATCCATCTGGCTCACTGTCTATCTCGCCCATCCGTCGTCGTGCGTGTTCGTCATGATGTCGTGAAAGCAGACGGGCGGCCCCAGGCCCCCCAGGCCATATCCGCGGTACCTCGACGGGTGGCTTGCGATGGAGACGAGCGCTGTTTGATCATGATTGTTCCAGCCCTCTGTTGCTCAGACCTCCGAGGATACAAGCTCCTGACCCTGGTTCGAGGTCGACGACACCAACGCGAGCGAACAACGCCAAAACCCAAAGCCAGGCCACGGCGGTTCCTTTTGAGGCCAGGCCGGAATGCTGGCGCCGAAGCTCCGGGCGCGTAACTTCAGCTCAATCCGTCGTGATCAACCAATGCAGTTGGATCGGGTGTGATTCAACACTGGTTTCCTCTATCTGCGTGTCGCTACTGAGTTCAATCCGGTCACCTTCTGCCATCGTGTTCTTCCCTGGGCTTGTTGATTCCATCGGTCCAGAGACGATCCGAACGGTAGCAGTCGGCCTGACTCCTCCACCTCCGCAACCGATCGCCTTGACTGCACCTATCTGTATGTGCCTGAACGTCCTTCGGGAGACGGGAGATTATCCAACCGGTCTCATTTGAAAACCCGTTTCGATTTGCGACCGTGTATCGCCCCGTGCGGGCCGCCATCGCAGCCTCATCCGTCCGCGCCGGCGCCTTACAGCTGCGCATCCACGCATGGATGGACCCGAATGCGCATGGATTCAATCCCTAAATCTGCCCTCCGTTGACCAGAGCATCTTGCAGGCGGCAGGAATGGCGAGTGAAGCTGGCCGATCGATCCTGAGCCAGTCGCCCAGCAAACGGGAGCCCAAATGCACGCTTCCGCCTGAGAAGGTCTTCTCGATCCAAATAGGAACGGAGCTCTTCCGGCTCTCAGGAGCCTCCATTGCTTCCGATGGTCAGTCGATCCATCTCGGTCGTGCGCATGGCTGATCTGTCACTAAACGTTCTGGAGCCCCGTCATATTTCTCCCGCTTCTTCGAAGAACAGCTGCGCCTGCATGGGGACGTCTCGAACGTCAGAACCCTCTACATCGATCGCGATCCGACTACATTCCAGGAGATTGCTAAGCATCTGCAGGGTAGGCACATGCCACAACTTCCGAAACATCGTGCCTTGATTAACCGTGTTGGCTCACTAGGCTACCATATTTTGCCCAAAGATGGGCCGCAGTTCGTGAAGTTCTTCGCCGATGCCCAGTTCTACAGCTGTAGGGACACCCTCAGCCGTTTGCGAATCATAAACTGTTGCTGATTCCTCCAGTGCCTCGACTGATCTCTCAACTGTTCGAATCGGAGATCTTTGTCCGAATCGGTGGCCGCAATTTCCAGATTCCTCGCGACATCTTCTCCGGCCCTGGCGATACCCCGAACTTCTTCACGTTGGGATTCGCGGCCTTCTTTGCCTCGCCGACGGAAGTATTCCCCGGGCTCGACCGTCAAGGTCTGTTGCGGCCACCAGCCATCACACCACCCAGTGTCCCCAGCCGTTCAGGGGAAGTCTTTGCACAGCTCCTCCACCTCCTTCGCGGGTATCCTCTGGACATTCGGAACGAGGCGCATCGCGACGAGCTCCTGCGTGATTGTCGCTACTTCCATCTGCGTGGACTGGAGCAGAAACTTATACCGCACCACATCAGCTTCAACCCCATCCGCAAACGGGATGAGATTATCATCCGTCTCGAGGACGTCCGCCGGTCTGGCATTGACATCGAAGATATCCCGCTTCCTCCTGGTCAGAATCAGACAGACGTTGTGTCCGCGGGCTTTGTTACCTACACTCGGCCTTTTATCGACGAGAAGAAGTATGATTTGATTCTCGAGATTGGTGACGAAAGCACCGTCCTCGACGTGACCAGTCGACGTCCCACGTTCCTCGGCGCCACAAAAACCCGCATAACCAGTCTTCTGCAGATCATAGCCAGCAAGAAACCCAACCAGAACCGGCTCGTGCAGCTAGACGGATCGCAGCCCCCGCCGGAGGACCGTCTGTGGGCCTCGCTGTCGGTGGACACGGATTTGACCATTGATGGCGAACGCGAATATTTCCCGGACATTCTCCGGGACAACACGCCTGGCCTGGAGCATCTTGCCGAGGAGCCGCAAAGGAAGCGCAAACGCGTCGATGAGGGCTCCATTGAACGTCCGTGGGTGATACGCAACGGACAATGGCGGTTGTGCCTGCAGCCGAGGGCGAAGGGCGATGGCATGGATTTTGTCATGGTCGCGGTGAAGTTGGACGTGTTTACACGGCAGCGAACACGCAACCGAATGAGGACATTTCTAGGGTCATAGTCACTATACTATACATACATGACTTTCTTTACTGTACATGTCCGTTAGCTCTAGACCAGAGATCAATCCGAGAATCCCTCCCACTCGTCATCCTCCTCTTCCTCGTCATCATCGTCCTGATCTTGACCCTGATCCTTACGTTGATACTCAGCCCCATTCCCATCTTCAACATCTCCATCCCTCACAAACCCGGCCACAAAGAACCCTCCCGTCCCCTCTTCATCCCCAGGCCAACACCTTAAACACCCCTCCAACTCCTCATCCGACAAATTCACATCCACCTCCACCCCCTTCCCACCCTCACCCTCCCCCCGATCCTTCCTAATCCCCCTATACTTCCACTTCCTCATGCCCACCGGCTGCTCCTCCCTCCTCAACACCCTCCACCTCCGCCTCTTCGCCACCTCCGACGCCAAGATCCTTGACACCACCGCCTCATTCTCCAATAAATGGATCGAGCACGTACTATACGTCACCCGCGTCGCGGCCGGGAAACTCAGCGCGTGTTCCACGATCCGCGTCTGCAGATTGGAGAGTTTAACCAGTCGCTCGGTATCTGTTCCGGAGACGGAAACGTCGTTTTCGTCGGTTGCGGAGGTGGGGGTGGGGGTTGTGGGGGTTTTGGTTCGGTTGCTTGTGCCTTCGTCGTCGGGTCTGCGTTTGCGTTTTTTGCCGCCTGCGGAGAAAGATGTAGATGAACTGGAGGTGGATTCCGGGAGAACGAGCTTAGGGACATCATCTCGGCCGATGATACCACTTCCCGAGCAACTAGGGTCGAGGAGAAGACCGCTGACGTTCTCGAAGCGGGGATCTTGCGGGTCGAGGGCGAGGAAGTCTTGTCCTGCGAGCACGGTGACCATTTTATCGGCGCCGGCGGTGGTGACCATCTTCTGGAGGGTTTTGGCGCGGAGTTGCGATTGGTCCATTGAGTAGACGTGGTATTTTTCCTGGGTTTCTTTGGTTTGGGAGTTTTCGGTGGGGGAGGATTTGGAGAGGAGGGAGGCCATGTGGGTGGTTTTGTTGCCTGGGGCGGCGCATCCGTCTAATAGTCCGCCTTCGGTCCATGTGTTGTCGCCGATGAGGAGATATGCCGGGAAGCAACTGGCTTTATCTTGGAGGATGATTTCGCCGTTCTTGTACGCTGCTGAGGTGATGAATTCCGTGCCGGGTGCCACGGCGATTAGGTCGGGTACGTGGGGGTCGATGAGCATGGTTTTGCGGCCGGGGATGACGAGGTCCGCGAGGGTATGGACGCGCTCGTAGCCCGCGAAGGTGGTGGACAGTTGGTGCGACATGGTGGTGAGGATGTTGTTGATGCGGACCCAGCGGGGGTAGATGGATGTGAGGGGGCCTTGGAGGGCGAGTTTTTCCTTTTGGATTGCATCTTTGAGGTCCGGGATGGAGGCGCAGCCGCGACGGACGCGCGCTTTGGTGAATTCGCCGCGGAGACGGGTTTTGTGACGCTCGATGGCGAGGCGGAGGGGGTGGGTGGAGGTTGCGGCGAGGCCGGATTTAGTGAGGAGGTGGTCGTGGACGAGGAGGAGGGAGAGGAGGGGGGTTAGCTGTTTTAGGGCTGGTTAGTTGGGGTTCTCGAGGGTGGGAGGGTTGGTATGGGGTGATGTTGTCGATTGGAGCGAGTAATCAAGGAGGGGGGAATACCTTTGGTTCCAGTTTCAGGATCCCTGCAGCCTCAATGACTTCTTTGAGGAGAATGTCCCATTTTGAAGCTTCGATGATCAGGGCGTAGACTTGCGCCGGGGAGGACTTGATGTTGCGCGCGGTGTAGATGCGCGATTTGAAAGAGCCGCCGGTGGCAGGCGCCGTGAGCATAGACACGGCGTCGTAGTAGAGCGACATTGTGGTTATTTATTGCATGGTTGGTGGTGGAGATGGGCAAGATGTTGCGATGCGATGCGATGCAGGAAAACTTGGTGTTTGCATTGTTTGTTGTGAGGATTCCGAAGAGAAGGCCTTCATAGTAGGCCTATTTCCACAATTGTTCCTGAGGAGATATATGAATTGGTAAGTATATTCTAGGCAACTGATTCTAGATGACTCCAGTAGATAAAGTCTTCATATGATGTACAACATCCCCATTCCAACAACCTGCTCCAACCAAGCCGGAACGCTTATCTCCGCATTTCCGTCCGATCTATAGCTACGGCGGACTATAGCGACCTGTTGCGTCAGCATCAAACACCGACTAGACATCTAAACCATAATTGAGAATTTCATGAGAATCATCATAAAGTTTATGGCTATCAGGCTAATCCTGAAATCTTGTTTATAAGTAATCATTCACCCTGATCTAACCACCGCCGAGTATCATCTAACCCAGCTCGTCCCTACACAGTATAGCGCAATCACCAACACTATACCAAACACAGTAATTACTGGGATGTATGTCAAAGGTAGGGCGTATCCCAAGTCTCAATACTCCGTACTATCACAAAATCACTCTTCCCCCAGGGTCATTCTAATACCTAACCCCCTCCCCATCCCAACCATCCTTTCATCTTCAACTCACCACCCTTCTACCTCACCTCCTCACTGCCAACCAAACCAACGCAACAATGCCACCAACTTTCACAACCACCCTAATCCCACCCCCAGGAAAATCCACCCCCCTCACCCTCCCCACCACCACAACCACTACCACCACAGCAACCACCACCCCCCTTACCGACGCCCTCACCATCCGCTCCCTCGTCTTCATCACCGAACAACACTGCACCCCCGAAAGCGAAATCGACAATGACGATCCCCGCAGCTGGCAATGGGTTATTTACCACCACCCACACCCCCAATCCCCCTCCTCAACAGAATCCAAAACCCCCATAGGCGTAATCCGCCTCGTCCCGCCCCCTCACCCACCACACGAGATCCTCACACATCCCGAACGAGCGCCAGAGTTGCCGGAGTGGGATACCGCCCACGAACCGTACGTGAAACTCACCCGGGTGGCGGTGGTGAAGGAGTGGAGGGGATATGGGCTGGCGAGGAGATTAGTGGAGGAGGCGTTGGAGTGGGCGAGGGGTCATGTGGGGGAGATTGAGCGGGCGGGGGAGGGGGTGCTGGGGACGGGGGAGAGGAAGGAGTGGAAGGGGTTAGTGTTGGTGCATGCGCAGACGCAGGTCGAGGGGATGTATACCCGGATGGGGTTTGAGACGGATGAGGGACTGGGGAGGTGGGATGAGGAGGGGATTGAGCATGTGGGGATGTGGAGGAGGGTTGGGTTGGTTTAGTTGTGAGGGTTGAGGGTTGAGGGTGATTATGGGTAGAAGATACAATAGATTACATAGCATAGAGGAGGTTGTGGAGTCATAAGTCTATTGCATACCATGTAGTACTCCGCGCCGAAAAGGAACCAACAAAAAGATCGCCGCTCATAAGCAACCATGACGGGGTATCCTGAGAGTAAAGAAAACAAGATTAAGAAAGAAACCCCTCGCATCTGACGACGATCGGTCGCAGCAATCAAACAATCAAGCAAGCAAACAACGCCCGTAGCCCATTAGCCATTAATCGCAATATCGTCCCAACTCCCAGCAATGACCGAATCCGAAGCAAGCCCGGCAACAGATCGGAATCGACGAAAATATGTTCTAAAACAGGTATGTACGAAGTGAAGGACACCCGCGGTGAGGTGCGTATAGACATGGTCATCAGCACGTGATGTCGTAAGGTTTAGAAGGTACTCCAGTTCCAGCCCCGAGGAACGCTGGCGGCGATCTCGGTGTTCTGGCCCAGGAGTCCAGCAAGGGCGGGCTTGGAAGCCTCGTCCGGCGAGGTATCCGAGTGCTCCGAGACGGTGTTGTCGTCGCTCTCACTGTCGCTCTCCGCGGCCTTGCTCTGCGCATCGAGGAGGCTCTGGATCTTGCTCAGGCGCTCCGTGCGCGACTCCTCCCAGCGCTGGTAGGCGCTCCAGCAGAGATCGCAGGCACGGGAGGAGACGCCGTCGGGGTGGAAGCGCGCATTCTGGTCGAGCGGGACGACGTGAGGAGTGTGAGAGGAGCAAAACACATGGCCGCAGTGGCGACAGTGATGGCGACGCAGGAAGAGGCCGAAGGAGGAGCGGCAGGTAGGGGAGTCGCAGTTGGGAGAAGCAGAGTCCGCCTGGAGAGAGGGCTTGTTAGCAAACATTCCCGCAATCAAGGGGTGTTGTGCGAAATCCGCCGGATGTCGTCATAGCAATTGCGCGAGATCGCGCAAGTGGATGCTTGCGCAACACAAAGCTCCGCTTGCGCAATGCCGACACTATTAAAGCGCACGCGCCCACCCGGGTCGGAAGGGAAAATCGGATTCACTTACTTTCCAGTGATCGCGAGTGGGGAGTCCAGTCACTTCACCCAGATGCTCATTCTTCATCCACTCATCCTCTGCCAGCTTGCTGACGGAAGGACCGCTGTTGTAGCTCTCCATGGTCGACCGACGGGTGACGGGAACACCGACTTCGCCTTCATTCAGGCTGTCCAGCGAGCCGTGCACGCTGCGGGGAGGAGTCGGGGGAGAGGAGGCCTTCTGGGGACGCTCCATCGGACGCAAAGCAGCGGGAACATAGAGCGGACCCTTGAGCGGGCGGAGCTGCTTCGACTGCAGCGGAAAGTGCTGATAGCGAGGAGAAGTGGGCGAGTTATTCGCGGGGGAAGTCTCGGCCGAGTTGCCCGGAGAAGGGTGACCGTAGACGGTGAAAGCAGGGGTAGTGGTCGCCGTAACAACGTGGGTAGCCATTTGGTCGATATGATATCAGAGGTGTTGAACAAGAAGTGGAAGAGATTATTCGAAATGGTGGTAGAGAGGAGAGTAGAAAAGCGGTGGAAGTAGTGGAAAATAGGGAGGACAGGAGGTAGTAGTAGTAGTGGCGGTGGTAGCGGTGGCAGGTGAGGGAATTAAGTGATATCGCTTCACCGGTTGATATCAGAGTGAATTGATGTGATGATGCCAACAGTAACAGTAGTGAGTTTAGATCCGAATGGCCATTGACAGAGAAGCTGGGCGGAACCAGAAGGGCATCGCAGTGGCAAGCGGGTGGGTGGGTTAAAGTTCGCGATGACGCTGGGAATCGTTTGAGATCCAGGGAATCAATCAGCGGCGTGGAGTCCGAAGTATAGATGATATATACTTTTGAAAGTATAGATAGACAGAGAGATAGGAGAGGTCGTGGGACTCGAATCTAATCGGGACGAGTGAAGGGAAATAAGCGGGCGATGAAGGGCTACTAATAGTCTAAATGGACGCCCGCAGGAATGGATGAATTATTAAGTGGCACTCGCCGGACGGGGATGGCAAGTCTGGGAAGGGCAAGGGAATGGGCGAATTTTGCCATGCATTGTGGAGATGCGCTAGTCCGATGGAGTCTCCCCGAGAAGGATAATAATAATAATAATCCAAAATAATAATAATCATCATCATAATTTTAAATTAACCCCCCCCTCTGGCGTCTCATCTCGTCTGCTTGGACTCGATAGGTAGTTCCGACGGGGGCGCTCCCCCCCAGTAGGTTGAGGCTAGAAAGTCCCGAAGAAACGCAGCCGGTGGAGCCGTTGGAGGATCGGAGGCAACACGACTGGCCGGTGCCAGTTATCGTGACGAGTTGACTGAAGTTACTTTGCCAGAGTGGAGGAATGGAGAGATGCTTACTTACATCCAGCCGGCAGAGTGCAGTCTTGCCCCTTGTTATCGGATAATATTCTCCTCTCTGCAAGATTCCTAGGAAGCACCCAAGACGCTGACCGATAGATGGAAGGCCCTAATCATGGGACGAGGCATCACATCCACCCCCTGAACCCGAGTCCTGAAAGACCAGGAGGACAACTGGAGGATCAGGAGCCGTACCGATCGTCCGGCGTTACCAATGCGTAACAGCAGATCGGATGGGTTCAGGCCAGGCTAACCCCAAACCAGCACGGCATTTTACCGAGGTTTCGTACTAGTGTGCCATTAACCCTCCCAGCCCAGGAATCTAGTACTAACAGACTTGGGATATACTTGGACCGGGATTTGGAGAGGTCGGATACCACGCCGGAGTGTTACTCTGACCGTGTGCTTAACAGCCCGTATTATTACTATGTATGAAGGAGATGACGAGGTTTTCCCGTCTGATATGAGACGCATGTAGACTAGTCGTCGTTGGTTTCTCCGTAGATTGGAATAATGGGGATGGGGATCTCACAGGCTCACGGGACCTCCTGGCCTGCCCGGTTCCTGTACGGTATTGACGCTGGCAAGTGGGAGGGATGGACGAGAGCGGCCAGACAGGATGGATGGATGGATGGATGGCTGCAGGAGCCAGTGAGCCAGTCCCTTTGGCCGAAGTCATGATGACAACACCCCCTGCGCCCTTGACCGCCTCTTGCTTCTGGGCCTCAGTCCCTTCCCTCCCTCCCTCCCGCGACGGACATTCCTGCGATCGAGGATCTACCGTCCTCCGTATCTACAATCGACATACCACATACCGCCATCGATGATTCATCGCGCGGTATGCACCAGGCGGTCCCGAGTCAACTTTGTATCATCTCCCGATCTACCCTGAAGCAACCAAGTATGCATCCCGGTCGAGTGGCCAAACCGGTTCATTGGCCTTGCCCGCCTTTGACACGGCATCTCGACGGCTCAAGCATATGATAACTTTCCCCTTTGGGCCATCTCCATTGTTCTCCCCCCACTCCACCTCACGATCGTTCCCATCTCCAAAGTCCAAAATCCCAAAGGCAATTTTGCTCTGAAGCATCCAGGCTCCGCTCAGTCCGCTACTCCATCGTAGCGTGCACCAGTCTCCAGTCTCCATCCCCCAACCGCCCTGGGAACGACGTCTGCCGGCTTCTGACCACGGAACGCTCGACCGGTGAATCTCCCACCAAATCAAAATAGGAAGGCCGCTCATTGGCCAGCGGACTCCACCCGGCCCTGAGGTCCACTGGCCGCCTTGACCGCGCTGACTTGCTCTCTTAGGAAGAGTTCACGAGACCAGGTGCTACATGGGTGTTCCTCAACCTCGGGACCAGGGCCAGTTGGTGGCCCTAGTCGTACTATGTAGTACCCTACATTGGACCTCCCAATAATCGAGGGATGCGTTGCAGTTATTGGTCGGTCTTACCATCACTGGTCCGTCCCCTTGCAAGCGCCCTCCCTCCAAGTCCACTGTTCTGGCGGTGACTGACCGACCGTTGTCCTCTTTTCCCGTGCCAATCAATCGGATCGGATAAGGGACTGGACTGGGAGACATCCTGATGGATGAGGGATGGCTTCAGTGAAAGTGGGAACCAATTACCCGGGAGAACGGCCTTTCCCAATGCGGTGGAGCCCTCGACCTCGCCTCCGGATTGGAGACCTCCTGCAGCTCGTTATCGCTGCTACATGATTGGTGCAGAGGGTATTGCCACGTTGCCATTGGTCAGTGCCCCAGCCAGCACGGACAGACCCCGAACCCGTCGCCTCTCCAGGGCGCCTCGTCGGGCAAACCGCCTCGAGGGATTATGTAACAGAATCCACGAACCGCGTCGCGTGTAGAGACCTCGGTACCGCATCGGGCTAGCGCTTCCGGTGCACCTCGGCCGTTGAGCCTTTGACTTGCCGCTGTCGAGTTCAGCTGGAGTCACTGGAGTCGCTGGTGTCGCTGGTGTCTCCTCTCCTTACGATTGCCATCCGATTGATTGGGCTGCCAGGCACCCGGCCCTGTCAATCACCGCGGCATCCGACCGAGGCAGCCAGTGCCCGGTGTGCAAGTTGGTGATATCCCCAGCTGAATCCCGCCTCGAATATTCTAGTCGGCGTGGGAGCCGCTACGGCGAGCCTAAATCGGTGGAGGATTCCACTCCTGACAGGTCGCCTGCTGGTTGGTGCAGAGCGCCGCCATGGATGTAAGACATCCGCGGACTTACATGCACTCCATCCTCTCGAGTCTTCACATCCCTGTCGCTGCAGCTCTAGCTCGGGAAGGGACTGGTGGCAGGATGTACCTAGTACCTGACTATCCAGGATGTGTTCCCTGCGACGAGCCTACCCGGACGTCTCAGGAATTAGCGGCTGTCCTGTCCGGCTTAGGAAAGGATGACAATGGCTGATGCTATAGCCGCTGTGTGAAGTGGAAGCGCCTGGAAAAGAGGTGGTCTCAATTTCAGGCGATTATGAAGCAGGCCGCTTAAGCGCTTCGCCGGATCGACCGCTAGACATCAAACACGGATGTAACCAGGAGCAGGCACCTGCGTTCGACTGATAACTGAGGCGACTCCGTGTTTAAGCGCCA